ATTCTGGTCAGCCCACCTCCTGTTCTCAGCTTGGATCACTGCCCCCTTTCCATTCGCCCACCTCAGCAAATTCTAGAGAAATGGCAGATGAGGCTTGGTGCTTGGCTGGGTGAGGGCTTGGCTGAGCACCAAGATATATGACCTGGGAAGGAAGTTGGGGTTCAGGAGAGACAGGGAAGAGAAGCTGGAAATTTAGGGGGGAGGTTTAGGGATGGAGACAGAGCTAGAGGCTGGAGGCAGATACGAGGGGGGTAGAGTCGGTGGAAAGCTGAAAGGAGCTAATGTTGTTTGGGTGCTTCAGGGGAGCAGGAGCAGAGGTAGGGAGAGTTGGGGGCTCAGGGAAGAAAGCACTTTGACCTCAGGCAGGGACAAGAAGACGGATACCAGAGGACAGGGCAACAGACACTCCCACATACGGCTGCTGTTTCTCTGGCATTGTATCCCCTTGTACTCCCTGCCCTGACCCTGGGCTGAAAAGACTTTCACCACGTAAGTATCCATGGTGAGGCAACCCCACCAGGTTTCACAGGGAGTGAGTTCTTGCTACCCAGCTACAAACCTCATCATCAGGGAGTAGCTTAGCCTAGTCATAGGTGATGGGAGAAAGGGACCCCGAGGAGCCTGTATGTGCCTCAGTCTGCCTTAGGTTGGGGCACAGGTGTCTGCACCCCAGATCGGATCCCCCTGGTTACAGGAGAGTGTTGCTCGTGGGTCAGGGCACACTGGCACGGTGCATGACTCCCACATGCCCAGTCAGCTCCCTGTGACTGAGGGCAAAGGCTTGCACGGACTCTCGCGTGGGTGTCCCCGTGTGTGTCTGGGTGTGTGTGTGGCTGTTTTTTTCCTGGCTTTGATGGGGAGGATGAAGTCAGCATCTTGGACGGAACTGGGCTCAGCTTCCTTCCTCTGCCTTGGCCTAAAGCCCCCAGAGCCTGGAGTAGGTAATAGCTTCCCTTTGATTGGGAGGGCTGGGGGGAAACACTTGAAAGGCGAGGGGGGGGCTGAAACAGCATTACTTGGGGAGAGCAGACTATGCAGAGGACGAATTTCCTCTCACATCCCCAGATTTCAGTAATTCTGTTTCATGGTTATAGCCATTATTTTTCCTATGTCTTGTTCCTGGCTTTATTATTTACTAAGTATGGCAACCATAAGTATACTTGTCCCACGGAGTGGCCCGAAGCCCCTGGAGATGTGAGAGCTCGAAGGATGGCCATGGGGTGTTTTTTAAGTCCACGGCTAGGGACAGATGGGATACCAGTCTCAGAGAGGAGAGGGGGATTGCAAACATTTACAAGGTTACAAGGCATTTGAAGAAGCCACTGTAGGCTTAACAGACATAATTCCAGTTTCTGAGATCATCATTGTCTAAAATTTGATTCACCCCCTGGATTTCAGGCTCTTGGAGGAGCTCATGAAAGACACGAGATGTCTTACATGCTTGCATCTCATCAGTAAAGCACAGACCGTGCATAGTGCAGGTGCCTAATGAATTCTTGTCGCTATCAAGTTGTGAAGGGACTGGGTGAGAAGGACAGGGAAAGGGAGTCTGGCAGGAGTCCCAGGCGTGGAGGCAGGGAGGCCTAGTGGTCAGAGCCAGTTGCCTTCACTGAGGTGTTTCAGGTGATGGGCAGAAAGATCAGTGTTGCTAACAACTGTCCATGTGCTCTGGCTCATGGTGTGAGAATCCTTATTTCAGGTGTCTTCAGCTCTGGGTTTCCATTCTTTAAAGAACCTCCATGTTCCTGTCCTGGCTTCAGGAGGATTCCGGATAAAAGATACAGACAGTAATGAAACGAAAAGACAATGAGAAGGGAGGGAAGACAAAGAATGAGGGCAATTAAGGGCAAGGACCTGAAAGAAAAGAGAAGGAATGAAGAGAGGCCAGGGGCTTCGATCCAAGGGAGCAGTCCCAGAGAGGGGGAAGAGAGAAAACAGTTGTACTGGGCTTCCGTTGACAAAACACTTTCCAACACAGTGAAGGCATTTGATCAATCCCACTTTGTGGCTGAAGAAACGGAGGATCACAGACGTTAGATGACTTGTCCAAGGGACTTTGTTAGTGGTGGTGAAGGTGAGCCTCCACCCAGGTTTTCTGATTCCAAAGCCCGTATTCTCTTCCCTTCCCCAGGAATAGCCTTGGAAAGATGGAAGACTTAGGGCAGAAACAAATGAAAGGGCTTCTGGAAGAACTTGTTTGAGAAGGAAAGGTGGAAGATCTAGATTTCTGAAACTTTTTTCCTGTATATCCAGTTACTATGCAGATTCAGTAAGAAACCACCAAGTTTAAGATAGGGGACTCAACATTCCACTACTGAGGGGTGGGACTGGGAGATGGTGAGGAAGGGGGGCTCAAAGAGAAGAGACAGCCTGACATGAGAGATGGGAGAGAACCACAAGCTAGGGCTGAAAAGGGGGCCACAGAGCCACAGAAGGAAGGTTTGGACCCTAAAACTTCCTTTGCCTGGAGACGCGGGTGTGGGGAGGAGGGAGGGGGGAGGACATTTCTATCTCGTGACAAAAGAAAGTCACACAATTGTTTTGTTCTCTGCTCTGGGGCGGGTGGGCGCCTGTATTTACCAGAGGGACCGAGGTCGCTGTGGCAACCACACATCTGGGCCCCCGAATCCAGATGTGCTGTATCCAGAAGCCATAGCAGAACGATGAGGCAAACATTAGGCTCTCCAGTCCTGGCCCCTACAGCTGGGAAGAGGACGGGGGATTGCAGTGGGGAAGGGGGGAGGAAGGGGGAGAGGGCTGAAGCGGGGGAGCAGAGAGGAAGTCGCCTAACAGGACAAGGAATGTGGACAGAGGAAAGGGAACCCGGGAGGGGGTGGCATGAAAAGAGAGGAGTTGAGCACAGGGTTAGCAGCAGGAGGAGGTGAGAAGAACAAGTAAAAAGAAAGGGAAAAGAGAGTGGAACATTGGGGAGGAAGAGCAAAACAAAAAAGGAATGAGAAACAAGATGAACAAAGACTGAAAAGTCCAAAAGAGAAGGTGAGGACTCCCAGTGGGACAGAGCGGAAAGAGGGGAAAGAAAAAGAATCTAGTGCAAAGAGGCAAGGCAATGGGTCAGGGATGATAAGAGGAACAAAAGGCCGGATCCTGAGGAAGGAAAGCAGCTCAACAGAAAGACAAAGTGGGCCTGGGACAGGATGGGCCAACAGGAGGTGCAGGAGTGACAGTGGCCATACACTGAGGTGGCCTGGGATGAGGCTGTGACTGCAGAGCCACATGGACCTGGAGGGCGGCAGCCAGAGACTGACCTGCCTTCACCCTCCCACCTCGCACACCCTTGCCTCTCCTGATCCTTCCCACCACTCCACTCACTGGGCCAAGAGAGTCAACTGCCAGTTCACACCAAAGTGCCAGCTGTCCCCTGCCACTCAGCCAGATGTGCTACAGCCCCACCTCAGGGCCCCCAGTCTGAGATGCCAACACTCAAGCACTTTCCTGAGCTGGGGTCAGGACAGAGAGAGATGGGATGATCAAAAAGGGATGAACCCAGCTGGGATTAAGAGTGGACTAGAGGTGGGGCACCTGGGTGGCTCAGTAGGTTAAACGTCCGACTACGGCTCAGGTCATGATCTCATGGTTCATGGGTTCGAGCCCTGCATCGGGTTCTGTGCTGACAGCTAACTCAGAGCCTGGAGCCTGCTTCCGATTCTGTGTCTCCCTCTCTCTCTGACCCTCCCCTGCTCACGCTGCTTCTCTCTCTCAGGAAAAAAAAAAAAAAAAAAATGTGGACTAGAGGAGAAAATGACAATGTAAATGGAAAGAGAATGGTGTAGGGAACAAGGGACAGGTGTACCTTTCAGGGACCAGGCACTGTGAACCTCTTTCACCCTTACACCAACCCTGAGAAGTGGGTAGGAGTATTCTATTTTACAGATGAGGAAATTAAGGCCCCAAGTGTTTAAGTTACATATGAAGGGCATCCACTAATGAAAGGTAAAGCAGGGAATCCAACTCAGGTGATCTGTCTCCCGAATCCTTGTTCCTGCACTCCCTGGGCCTGGATAAGCCTCGAGGGATATGGGGACAGGGAAGCCGAGGAGCCAGGGCTGTGCTCCGGAGGGGGGAGAGGCCTAGTTCCTGGGAGCCCTAGTTCCAGGTTGCCATAGTAACCCAGTCTGTTTTCACCCCAAACACAGTAATGGGGAGTGGGGGAGCCTGGCTGGACACGTGAGGTTCTCCCCTCCTCCTTCAGGCCTGGGCTTGTGGCCCGGGCGGCCCCTGTCCAGTCATCTGGGCGTTGAGCCCAGGCCCAGCCCACACCCTCTAGCTGACCCAGGACACTCCTGCAGGGCCAGGCCTGAGGCGTTGCTGGACAGGAGCCGCTGATGGGATCCCCCCAGGTTGAAAGAGATTTGGCCCCTCACCCTGTCCTGTTCCCCTTCCTCCTAATTAGAGGCATAGCCTTTCCTGCCAGATCCGTTCTCACCCTTTTCTCTCAACTGGACGCACAAGTCTCAGTCTCCCCCAGTTTAGGGCTAAGAAGATGCTCTTGAACATCTTCCCTTCCCTCCAAACACTGCCCCCTTCTCCACTGTGGCCCCTCCTTTCTGGCTCACAGCCTTCTGGCCCCAGCTCTGCTGTTTGTTCAAGCTGCTCGTCCTGGAAATCAAGGGAAGGGAGGGAGAACCTGCTAGAATGCAGGGGACCCAGGGAGGCTGTTCACCCCAAAGGGCGTGGGGCCCCCTGTCCTTCCTGTTTACTCAGACACATTCCAGGGATCTGTATCCTCGGGGCTGTCATGCCAGGAGACATCCCACCCTCAGCCCCCCCACCCCCACCACTAGACACAGACATGCCCCAGTGTTGTAGGGGCGGGGACAACGGGATGACATGAGGTCTGGGATCCCACACCCAACCCACCCCAGAGCCAGCTATGTCTTCAGTGCTTGGTTCTCTAAGACACTGGCCATACAGGAGCCACTTTCCCCCAATTCCCCGTCCTGAGTCAGGAAGGCAGCCACCATTCCTTCAACTCCCTCCAAGTTGTTTATTTAATAATAAAAAAGAAGATATACATATACGTAAACCTGATCTCCCACCACCACCCCTCCTTTACTCCCAGTTACTAGCTCCAAAATGTAAAAATGTCCCTTGTCCCTCCTGGGGACTAAATTCCCCCCTCCACCCCCCTAAACAGAGAAACAAAAGAATAAAGAGTGTGCAGGAGTCCACCCACCCCAAAACTTAATCTCAAAGAAAGAAGCAGGAATTAGGGGTTTAGAGAAATGAGAGGAGCCCTATATTCCAAAAAGGGGTGAGAAGAGAGGTAAACCCCCTCACCTCCAAATAAGTGCTTAACCCCACACCCTGTCTTTCCTTTACCAATTGCCCCAAGCCCAGGGATCAGAGAACTTAGAAAAGCCTCACTTGGTCACCCCCACCTCCCGTCCCCCACCACCAGCTCTAAGATAGTGTGAGTTGCACAGGTCAGGGGTGATTGAGGTAGAGGGGCTGGTGGGACGCCTGGCGTGCCTGGCCAGCTGCAGAAGCTGGCAAGGGGCCACCTGTGGCATTGCCCGGGGTCGAGGATGGCTGTTTTCGGAGCGAGGGGGGCACCGTGGAAGTCTTGATGTGAATCACCCGGGTGTCCATGACCTCACACTCGATCTGCATCATCTCCTCATAGTCCCCTGGAGGCCCCCGGCCTGACAGGGTCTCTGTGAGAAGGAAAGAGTTAAGGGAGAAAAGAAGGGCAAACAGAGAGGGGAAAAGTAAAGGTGGGCAGGGAGGGAGGGGCAATGGTGAGGAGGCCAATCCACAGCAGGGGTTGAATGAGAGGGCAGGGATGGAGTTGGTGCCGGCGGGGGGTGGGGGGGGGGCGTGGTAGGGGCAGGAAAAGAAAATATCATTGATGAGTCACAGAGTACACATATGATTGAGATCACAGAGGAGAGGACATCAAGAGAAAACAGAAGGTGAGAATCGGGCTGTTCCCAGCCCACCCCCTCTGCCCACACCTATTGAGCACCCTCACCAAGGGATGGCCTGCACCCTCATCTTCCTCCCACATCTCCTGCCTTCTGTTTTTTCTCCACCCATTTCCTATATCTTCTCATCCAGGAGTCTAGCCTCTCTCTGGAAGGGCCCACTCTTCTCTCCATTTCCCCCTCAGCATCTCATATTGGATCTCCCAGTTCTCGATTTCAGGACCCCTCCCCAGATCTGGCAAAGAGAGAATTACCATTGGGGGCCATGGCAGGCATCACCAGGGACATCTTGGGCCGAGAGGTCTTGTTGTGGCTAATGGCGGGGAGCAGCAAGTGGTCCTGGGAAACAAAGGGGCCAGGCCAGAAGGCTGGAGGAAAAGATGCAGACAGGCTCTCCCCCCACCTCTACTCTACAGCCTCAGCCTGAAGACACGCTGCTGGAGAGCCCAGGGTGATGGGGATGGGGCAGGGAGGAACTCACTCGTCGGAAGGACACAACATAAAACGTGTCTTCTCGTCGGTCAATTGCATCCAGGAACTCTGGCTGTGAACGGTCTGGGTGGCGATACAGCTGCAGTTGGCCCACAGAATCCCTAGCCAGGCGGGGAGACAGGATTTGGGAGAAACTAAGCCCCACTCCCGTTCCTACTGGGGAGGATGAGAGAAGATAAAAGACAGGAGAGCCCAGGGGATGAGGGGGGCATAACGCCATTGGTGGCAATGGTGCCAGGCACAGACAGCTCCTGGGGTACAGCTATTTAGAGTGAAGCCCCCCCTTAGTAACAAACAAGCACCCTCATAGTCTCACCTTTCTGGGGGCCCCGGGGGCTGGGTTGGGACTGCCTTAACTGGAGGTGATTTCTTCCATAGCTGAGACTTCTGGAAGGAGAAGTATCTAAGGATTTGAAGAGGGTGAAGGGAAAAGGGAAAGAGACAGACGGCCCCTGGAAGCTGATGTCACCTCACACCCACCCCTCCACCCACCCCAAATGATCCCTCAAACCTCCACAATGAGATGCTCCCTCAAAATCCCCAGGACATTTAGTCTTCCAGTGGCCTTCCTTGAACCAGCCCTAGCCCCTCCTACCTGTCTCTCCTGGGCCCTCTGGGGGATCTTCCGCCGGCCTCTCTGGTGGCGCTGGACCCAGCCGCTCAGCTCATCCGCAAGCCTAGGGAAATAGAGGGGCAACGCGTCTGTATGGAGCCAGAGCTCCCATTTTCCTTGCCCACACACTAGAGGGAAAAGGGAGGGCAGGGAGAGCTGGTGCTTCAGCACATGGGGGCAGCCGGGCCACCTGTGGAGGGGCCCCAGAGGGCAGGGAGGATGTCCCAGCTGGGGATCCCCCAAACCTCAGGGACTCGGTCCTGTTGAAGTGCCGGCAATCAGAGGAAAGGAAGAGCTGGTCCAGGTCTCTCAGAAGCAACTCCTTGGCGCCCCCTGGGAAGGCTGTCAGGTTCCTGGAGTGAGGCAGGGAGGAGGCGATGATGAGAGGCTGTCCCGCACCCCTCCCCCAACAGAACAGGCAATGATGGCAGGAGAACTCTGGCTCCCCTCAGAAGAAAAACGTTTTGGAGAGCAACCCCAAAAGAGAGAGGGCCCTCTTTTCACCTGAAACTTGGCCGGCCTGGAGGGCTGGGCTGAGGCTCCTCAGGGCCCAGGGAGGAAGCCTGGAGGGGTTCAACTCCATGAACCGGCTCTTGCGCTGAGAATTCCAGCAGGTGTCTCCGGGGTCGAGGCTCCTCTCCACTCATCCGAGGGGATCTGGGAGCCGGAGGAGGGTCACTGATGCTGAGGATAAGGAAGAATAGAGTATGAGGAATTCCAGCTTGGCCCAGGGGCTGGTTAAGATCGTGGGCTCTGCAGAAAGCCTGCCTGGCTTCCAATCTATCCTGCAGAGTGAATCTCTTCATGCGTATGACCAGAATGAGAATCATCCCTAGCTAATAAAGCCAGGAAGCATGAGGAACTCAGTAAGCACTTAAACATCACTGTTTTCACCAGTGTTATTATTATTACCACCAGCTGCTGCAGGACACACCACTCTGAGAGAAATGACGGAAGGAGAAGGGACTGGCTGGATGCACCGTCAGTGCTGAGAACACCTGTGCTGTCTGTGTGTGAGTGGAATGAAAGGGCTGTGCCAAGGCAGGCAGGCAGGCAGCTGTGAGGCTGGGCTCCACCCGAAGGTTTGGGGACGGCAGGGAAGGTCTCACCTGACAGGTCCAAAGTTGAAGGCAATGAAGAGAAGGAACACCATGATGCAGACCACCTTCCTGTTTCCAGACCCTAACTTGAGCTCACTGTTCTAAGGTGCAGAGAAAGAGATGAGAGGTGGTGAGTCATCCCAAAGGAGCCTGTACTCCCAGGGGCCTCCCTGGGACGGACCAGTCTCACTTCCGCCAGCAGGGCCTCCAGCCGCCGCCGGAGGGCAGCATTCTCCCTGCGGAGCTGCTGGTTGTCGGCCAGCACGGCCTGCAGCCGAGCCTCCAGCCCCTGCAGATACTCCTTCTTCTTCCTCCTAGACTGGCAGGCCGACTCCCGGTTCTTGATCATTCGCTGCTGCCTCTTCAGCAGCTTTGCCTAGGGTACCCAGAGGACCAGAAAAGGAATGATAGATGGATGGGAGAGGAGAACTATGCCTCCCCAACTTCAGGGACTGATTACCCAACGCTCACACTGGCCACTCTACTGCCTTCCTGACCTCTACCCGATGCAGCCAGAGACCAGTTATTCCTCTCTGTTAAAACGTTTCAAAGAAGGAGCCCTTCTCTCAACCACTCCCTGCTCCTGTTCCTCAGAGCTAAGAGAAATCAGACTGTAGGAAGGACATCCTCCATCCTGGTTCCTGGTGGAAACTCAGTTGCTTTCCTTGGTGGGGTGGGGTCTTCCTTCCTCTCAATTCTCTTTAGGGCCCACACTTTAACCTTGCTATAATTAAAGAACACTTTACCTGGTTTCCCCCTAGGAAACAGCCTCCCTCTTCCAACTACTACCACAACCGTGACACAGTATGACTCTCCTCCCTTAGATTTACTGACAGCATTCCCATTTCTTCATCTGCAGTGATAGCAAAACTAAGGACCCGAAAACTACAGAGTTGATACTCATATATAAACAGGGATCCACTCTGACCTTCAGGATCATCTATGGCTTTGCTTGCTCACTTTTCGCTCCCTCCTCATTCCATAATTCTCTCTCCCATGGCAGACTTCCTCCCCCTTACTAAGTCCTACTCCTCTCCTCCCCAATACTTACATCCACTTCAGGTGGGCAGGAGTTCCCAGGCATAGGAGCTGGAACAATGCTCTTCCTCTCAGGCCTTGGAGCAGGGGGGGCTGGCCCCTCAGGCTGGACCCGAATAGCACCTTGGATGAGGACAACTGGTGACACTGGGGCAAGTGAGCAGGAGAAGGAGGTGAGATCTGTTCTTATGTCCACACCCGTATCTGAGCACCCAAGGGCTGGGAGCCTCAATGACTGTGAGCTCCCAGAGAAAGTTAATCCAGCCTGGCTCCCTCTCTCCCTGTTTAGTACCTGGGGGTGGCTGGACAAGAGGCTGCAAAAGGATGGTGGTACTAGGAGGCACAGGTCTGGGTGGCATTGGGACAGTGGTTATCATCACAGGTTTGGGCTGCAGCGGTGGCTTCCGGGTGGGCAGGGCTTTGCCTGAAGGAAGGGGAAAGGAAGGAAGGAAGGAAGGAAGGAAGGAAGGAAGGAAGGAAGGAAGGAAGGAATGTCAGGACTAGAGGCCTCCTGCCAGGGATCCCAAGGTATCAGAAGGCCCCATTACCTAAGGAGCCATCAGAGGATGGGGCCATGCTGATCTGGACACCTCCAAGTGGGGGGCCTAGGACATCCCGCAGGAGACACCCTTGAGGGGATGGTGACTCTGTCTTCACTTCCAGTACCTCCTCTCCTATAAAAGCCTATGTTGGGCATTCCAGAAGATATGTGAGTCAGGAGGAGTATCAAGCAGAAGGAGCTGAAGAAGAGAATGCTTTCATACCTCTGAGGGCCAGAAGGAGCTCACTGGAATGTCTGGAGAGAGTAAGAGAGGTTTATGCTCACCTGGTTGGGGGACTCTGCTGAGAGCAGGGAAGCCTCGGAGTTGATGGAGGAAGATGGGGAGACAGGCTCTAGCTTGGTCTGGACATCTGTGGGGTGTCAGGATAATATAAAATGCTGGATATCAGATAAACACTGAAGGAGAAGAGGATTAAGATAGGGGATGAAAGACACAGTCCTTCCTCCTTGCACCAGAAACAGACTATTCTGGCCCTAGGCACACAATCCAGAAGGAAGAGGAACTACGGGGCTGCTGATTTGCTGGCTCTCTTCCTACCTCTTTGCCCAGGACTTTCCTTTCTCCTTCGCTGGCTCCTGAAGCTGTCTCTATGCTGACAGCAGCCAAGTCTGCATTTCTACCCTTGACTGGCTCCCCTGTGTCCTGATCCCAACTCCCAAGGTGCCTGCTGGTCACTTTCTTTCTCATGACCCACCATCCGTCCATATTCAAGCTGGCCTTAAATGGGGCTCACTGCTTGTCCCTTCACACAAATTCCCTTTCTACTCTGTCAGCCTCCCAGGCATCAAATCACAAAGCCTCAGTCGCCTCTGAGCTTTCCTGGCCTCTGATAAATCCAACTGTGAGACTTGCTGATCACCCCATATGGGTGAAATAAAACTCATCTGACAGCCAAATTCAACTCCCAGGTCAACAGTCTGCCACTACCTTTGGTCCATACCACTCATTTGGGCACTTAATTATATAATTGCTAATTTTGCTATTTTAAAATTTCAACTTATATTGGTAAGTAGGTAATACACTCACATGACACAAAACTCCAAAGTAGCAAAGGGTAATTCAGTGAAGTGGATCTCCTTTCCTTTCTCGTCTACCAGCCACTTGGATCCCTCCTCAGAAATGACCACTATTTGATTATTAACCACGTGTTATGACACTCATGAGACTCTCCAAAAGCAAGGATTATGTTTTATGCTTCCTGTCTATTAAACTGATTGGTAAAGCACAGGCCCTCAAAAGTCCTCAACAATCAAGGTTCATAGCCTTATCCTGTTTGCAGGTGTGATCAGTTTCTCTTTTCCATCCTAACCTGTCCCGCCCTGAGGCCAGGGAGGAAAACACGAAAGGGCTGCCCCACTGGGCTCCCTTGCCCTCCAGCTTCTTGTTGGAGTTCAACCAAAGATGGGCAGTGCCAGGAAACCCTGAAGGCACTTTGCAATCCACACCCAACGCTGAAATTCATCACACTCCCTGACCAGGGGGCTCCGTAGTACCTATCTGCCCTAGGAGAAATTCTGGCATCAGATCCTAGGCAGGAAGTCACTGCAATCCATCCATTCTATTTCATACTTTCTGCCTCTTTTTAGCATCCAAATATCTTTCTTGATTAACTGTATCCAGTCCTGCCTCTCCACCATCCATTCTCTCTACTCTGCCACCACAGTCAGCTTCCTAATCACACTGTTCTCCTGCTTCTTCTTCTTCTTCTTTTTTTTTTTAAATAGTTTATTGTCAAGTTGGTTTCCATCCTGCTTGATTCTTCAGAGGCTCCCAACTGCCCACAGGAAAAAAGCTAAGAGTCTCTTATCAGGGTTCCCACTTGGTCTACAGCCTCTGCAACTTTCTTGCCACTTCCCACTCCCTTCTCACAACCATCCCTTCTCACATCCAAATCCCCACATTCATCTTGCGCCTCATTTCTTAAAAAAAAATTTTTTTTTAATGTTTATTTTTGAGAGAGACAGAGACAGAGAGAGACAGAGTGTGAGCTGGGGAAGGGGCAGAGAGAGAGGGAGACACAGAATCTGAAGCAGGCTGCAGGCTCTGAGCTGTCAGCACAGAGCCTGACATGGGGCTCAAACTCACAAGCCATGAGATCATGACCTGAGCCGAAGTTGGATGTTCAACTGACTGAGCCACCCAGGCGCCCCTCTATGTGTCAAAACTCAGCTCAAGAAACCCTTCCTCCAGGTGCACATCACTGATCCAGCCCCAATCAGGTGAGCTGCCCCTCTTATGAATTTTCCTGGCACCCTGTGACGTCTATCCTGGAATTCCCACACCTATGGCAATTGGTATTTGTCTTTCCCCTCCCTCCACACTACAGGATTCTTGGGTCAGCGTGGTGCTCACATCTTCTTCATCTTGCATTCCCAGCACCCTGTCCAGTATGTGGCATGGAGCAGGAGCTCAATAAATATTTACTGTGTAAACATCTAAGAATAAATAAACTTAGTTAACACTTAGTAAAATAGTGCAAATAATGTTAACTGCAGAATCTAAGAGTTGGGTATATGGAATTCCAACTTTTCTGTATGTTTGAAAAATTTTTTTATAATAAAACTTCAGGGGTGGGGAATAACAAATAAATATGCCCTAAACTGTCCATAAGTCTTTTAAAAATGCAAAGCAATGGGGGAGGAGGGGTTCCTGGGGGGCTTAATCATTTAAAATGTCTGACATCAGCCAGGTCATGATTTCAGGGTCCCTGAGTTTGAGCCCCACATGGCATCAGGCTCTCCCAGCAATCCGGGGTCAGCACAGAGCCTGATTCAGATCCTCTGTCCCCACTCACTCTCTCTGCCTCTCCCCTGTTTGCTCTCTCTTCCTCTCTCTCCTGCTGCCTGCATCCCCTCTCCCATTTACCTTGCTTTGGAAAAACCTGGGGGCGGGGGGGTGGCAGGCTGTTATTACCTGAGAGGTCGTCAGAGGTGGGACCCACATTGATCTGGACCGTTTCAAATGGGGATGTTGGATCATCTCCTAGGAGGCAGAATGGGGGTGCCAAGGATTCTGTCTTCACAACCAGCACCTCCCCTACAGCAGGGGCCTGGGAGAGTGGGGTGAAGTAGAGGGGCAGAAAAAAGAAAAGAAAACAAGGAAGGTGTTGAGAGCAAGAGTAAGAACAAAAGTTTTAGAGCTTACTAACTGACATTCTGGTTTGAATGGTACTGAGTGTCTTCGGCCCCTTGTTTTCTCTATTTTATTCCTGGGAGGGTTGATGAAGTCTCATTATTTCAAATATTGCCTTAGAATGGACAGCTTGGGCATGAGCAATTCCAGAATTCTTGGCAGTTAACAACTCTCTTCTTCCTGGCCCCACCATAGTTGCCACATATCTCTCTATATTAAAATGACTCCATCTTCTCTTACAGACAACCATGGCAGAGACCTGGAAAACGAGGATATTAAAGAAATCCAAAGGCACCACCACTACTACTCCATGACCCATAGCACACAAAACATTTTCTGCACCTATGGGTGAAGGGAATGGAACAAACAGTAGAAGGAGAGAGACGGTTCTCTCACCTGGCTAGAGGGCTCTGTGGAAAGACGAGATGACTCAGAGCTGAGGGAGGAAGAGGAGCAGGGAGAGGACGGCTCAGACTTCACCTGAAGATCTGGAAGAAAGGGGTTGGGGAAGCAGAGCCTGAGGAGTCCAAAACGTGTCCAAAGGCTTGGAGGTGAGGATACCCTCACCGGGGGCAAAAGGGAAGGAACACATACGGGACTGAAGGAAAGAAGAGTGCACAGACACTTATGAGAGGAGATGTGAGGATACAGGGGATTCTGTAGTTCCTGGTAAACAGTGGAAAGAAATGGTTTTGTAAGGATGTGGGAATCACAAGGGATATCTTACCTGGGAAGATAGGCAGGGGATCCCAGGGGGGCTCAGGAGGGCTAACATCCATCCCCACGTCCAGGGAACTGCTGCCAAACTGAATAAAGAAGGACATTAGATGGCAAGAATGTGAAGGCAATGGCTTCATGAGCTCTGACCTGGGGCTGAGTCCTTGTTCTGGGGCAACTCCCAACCGCCAAAGGTTAAAGACAAGGCTGAGGGGGCAATACCGGGACATCCTGCTCTGGGCAACGGAAGAGGTGCGTCTGCTCCTCTGCCACATCATCCAGGCCAGTATACAAGGTACTGTCTGCAAGAGATGCAGTGTCAGGGGGTCGCCCGGTGGCCCAGCCTACAGATCTACACACAGCCCTGGGCCCACCCCTCATTGGCTCCGCTAGGCCAGACCTACCGCCCGCCCCCTTGAAACGTGATACACCCAAAGAACTTCAGCTCCTCCTTCCCCCCCACCCCAGAACAACTCGACGTTTCTGCAGGGAGTAGAGATCTTTCCCAACTCCCGCATCCCCCCGAATGCACAACAAGCCCCCCTGCTCCGCCCTCTTTTCGAGTGATGGATTCCATATTTGCCCAGCCTTCTTCTATGGACCTCCGCTTCCTCCCTGCGTGCCTCAGAAGCATAGTATGCCACAGCCCTCCTCCCTCCCCGAGGCCTCACTCCGCAGACCCCAGTCCTCCGGGCTCAGCAAGTTATCGGTGAAAAAACGTGTTGGGTCCGCAATCTCGCTGAGCAGCATCAGTTCCGCCATCTTTCCCTCCCGCCCCCCAACCATGAGACGGTTCCCAAGACCCGCCTCTCCCCATCACCAACCAATCAGTTGATTCTTTAAAAAAAAAAAAAGGGGGGGCGGGGGAGGACGTCCCGGAAGTTCTACCGACCAGTAAGAGACCTGGGTGCTGAGTACTTGAGTTGGCTGAATAGGGCGGGCCAATGGGAGCACGGCAGGAGGACAGCACGCCCGCTGAACCGGACTGCATAGTTTGCGCATGCGCCGAGCAGGAGCCAGTGATAAAGAGCCTGGGAGTTGTAGTTTCCAGGATTTAAAGACCCGCCATCTCCCCCAGTCCTAAATTCTTAAGTTTAGTTATCTTTCATTTATCCTCGTATATGAATAAGCCTCCCAAAATGTAGCACACGTGATCGTATGGCTTTTAATGGTAAAAGAGGGAAAGAGGCGCACCGAGACCACTGCTACCTCCTCTAGGAAAGCAAAAGCTGGGAATGAATGGGACATGGCTGAAACCCTCCCTCTTGGTCCCATCAAAATCTCACAGCATAAACCACAATTCACAGGTTCCTGTCTCTTTTAAGATTTAACTTTTAATCAGCCAAACATCTTGCGCAGACCCTGAGCCAGCCCTGCATCTTGTTTCTTCCCCTGAATGATCACCTTTCCCAGCTCTTCCTGGGCTGCCCGGTTTTTGGGGTCTACCGCCAGCACCTTCCTGAGGTCAGCAGTTGCTTTTTCAAGGTTCCCAAGGGCAGCCTGGGCAACCCCCCTTCGGTACAAGGCCTTTAAATGGCCAGGTTCCCGCTCCAGCACTCGGTCACAGCTCTGGGCTGCCAACTGAGGCTGCCCTAGCAGCAGCTGACAGGCTGCCAGGTTGGCATGAAGAACAGTTCGTTCTGGAGGGCCAGGTGGGGGTAAAGTCATCAGCAGCCGAAGAGCCCGTCCGTAGCATCTGGCAGCCCCTTCAGGGTTCCCAGCTCTAAATAATTCTGTGCCCCTTGCACGTTCTTCCCTGGCCAGGGCCTCCTTCTCACTGGCCTCTAGCTCCCAGGAGTCCCTGCCCTGAGTGAAGGAAGCCAGTGTGAGCCTGAAAGGAGGTCCAGAGTGTTCAGAGAGCTGAAGCTCTGCCTCCTCACCTTGACACATGGACTCCAAGCATTTCTCTATGAGTTCTCCCCAAGTGCCCTCCCTCCATGGGCCTAACCCCATAGTTAGTTCTGTCCAGCCCTCTGGCAGGCCTGACCCAAAAGGAAACCCAAACGCCAGTACCCGGCAGCAGGAGCCCAGCTTGGGTTTGTCCAAGCCATGGCCACGGATTATGATCTTCTTAACAAAGCTCCCATCGGGACAGTACCAGAGATCAGAAGCTTGAAGGGGCTCTGGCATCTCTCTGGTTGTTCCATGAGAATTAGCAGAGTCTCCTTGAAGTCCAGCAGCCAGTTTTTCAGTTCCTTGAGAATTCTCTAGAATTTGGCTGACTTGATTTGGGCTCACTCTCAGCTCAAGGATTTCAGGAGGGTCTGGGGGCTGCTGCCTGATCTGGACAGTTGAATCAAGGTTCTCCTGGGGGTTCTCTTCCCATTGTTGTTGCGGTTGAGAGGTGTCCTTCTCTTCTACTGGATTGACTGGTGGCATCTCCATTTGGCTGCCTGGTCCCTTCCACCGTGGGCGAACAGTTTTGGTCAGAAAGGGATGGATCAGTTTCAGGTCAGCACCTGAAAAGAAAACTAAAATAATGCTAATGGCAGGATTCTTATTTAGACGCTCTTTAAATCCTCCCCCGTCCTTCTGGGACCCAGGCCCGCAGTCTTCAAAATCCTTTTTTTTTTTTTTTTTCCGCCAAAAATCCCTGTCGGACTGGAGCCTCCGGCCCACCCAGAACTAATCCAGAACTAATGCAGAACTATAAATTCCACAAATCCCTGCGGTTCGGGTAGCCGCCCCAACTACGGACACCCGATCGAGTCAAAAAGTACCTGCGCCGCCGAAACGCCTCGCCTGATGCCAATGGCCGGACCATTCGAATCACCGCTCCTTCCGAAGCTAAGTGCTTCCTCAGTACTGTGTTAGGAGTCTTGCTCCAGGCGAAGAGGGTGGCCGAGGGCCAGGGGCATCTGGGGACAATAACAGCTAAGGCTGGAGCCCGCGAGGCTGCGAATCTAATCAAATTCCTGGCAGCCAATCCGGAGGAGGGAGAGGTCTGATTAGCCCGCCTTTTGGACGTGACATCAGTCCCGCCCCCGCTTCCCTCCCCGCCCCTGCCCCTCTCGCAACCTGGAAGTTGTGGGCCTTAGCTACCGAACCTGGCCGAATCAAACCGAGCTAGAGCTAGCGAGGTCCGACTGACCAGTTCATTGAGACTAAAAGTCTGGAGAAGTCTTGAAATGGGAAACGGGCTCAGGAGGGAGAGTGGGGTAATGGAGCTGTTGGTGACTGATAGCGGCAGCAACCTTTATGTGAAGACCCCCAGCACAACTGTACCCTACGTTCAGGGCTCCCAGCCAGAGCCATCCAACCAGCTCCTTCGCGCATTCAGTCCAGGGTGCTGCAAGAGAAACCCTCAGGCCTCCTTCTCCCCATTTACCCCTCTTCCCTTGTGGGATCACCTGAAGCTTCTCCTTACCTGTTCCCGCATACATATCACTCCTTTCAAGTCTTCTTCCTCTAGAAATCTTAGTCTTTTTCAAACTTTGGCGTGCATACATATTTGGGGAATGTTAAATCTCAGGTTCGGATTAAGGAAGTCTGAGGCGGGGCCTACCTTCTGCATTTCTTTTTTTTTTTTTTTTTATTTACATCCAAGTTAGCATATTGTACAATAATGATTTCAGGAGTAGATTCCAGTGATTGATCCCCTATGTATAACACCCAGTGCTCATCCCAACAAGTGTCTTCTTTAATGGCCCTTACCCATTTAGCCCATCCCCCCACCCATAACCCCTCCAGCAATCCTCAGTTTGTTCTCTATATTTAAGGGTCGCTTATGTTTGGGACCCCTGGGTGACTCAGTCGGTTAAGCGTCTGATTTTGGCTCAGGTCATGATCTCACGGTTTGTGAGTTTGAGCCCCACGTTGGGCTCTGCGCTGACAGCCCAGAGCCTGGAGCCTGTTTGGATTCTGTGTCTCTCTCTCTCTCTGTCCCTTCCATGCTTGCACTGTGTTTTGCTTTCTCTCAAAAATGAATAAAAACATTTAAAAATTTTTGAAAGTCTCTTATGTTTTGTCCCCCTCCCTGTTTTTATATTATTTTTACTTCCCTTCCCTATGTTCATCTGTTTTTTAGCTTAGATACCACATATGGGTTAAGTCATATGATATTTGTCTTTCTTTGACTAATTTCGCTTAGCATAATACCCTCTAGTTTCATCCACGTTGTTGCAAGTAGCAAGATTTCATCCTTTTTGATTGCCGAGTAATACTCCATGCATGTGTATATATACTCCCATATATATACCCCACATCTTCTTTATCCCTTCATCAGTCAATGGACATTTGGGCTCTTTGCATAATTTGGATATTGTCAATAGTGCTGTTTTAAACATTGGGGTGCATGTACCCCTTTGAAACAGCACACTTGTATCCCTTGGATAAATACCTAGTAGTTCAATTGCTGGGTCATAGGGTAGTTTTATTTTTAACCTTTTGAGGAAGATCCATACCATACTGTTTTCCAGAGTAGTGCACCAGTTTGCATTCCCATTAGCAGTGCGAAAAAGATCCTCTCTGTCTTCTTCCTTGCCAACATCTGTTGCTGCCTCAGTTAATTTTAGCCGTACTGACTGGTGTGAGGTGGTATCTCATTGTGGTTTTGATTTGTATTTCCCTGATGATGAGTGATATTGAGCATTTTTTCATGTGTCTTTAGCCATCTTGATGTCTTCTTTGGAGAAGTATCTATTCATGTCTATTGCTCATTTCTTCACTGGGTTATTTGTTTTTTGGGTGTTGAGTTTGATAAGTTCTTTATAGATTTTGGATACTAACCCTTTATCTGATATGTCATTTGCAAATATCTTTTCCCCTTCTGTTGGTTGCTTTTTAGTTTTGCTGATTGTTTCCTTTGTTGTGCAGAAGACTTTTTATCTTGGTGAGGCCCCAATACTTCATTTCTGCTTTTGTTTCCCTTGCCTCCAGAGACATGTAAAGTAAGAAGTTGCTGAAGCTGAGGTCAAAGAGGTTTTTGCCTGCTTTCTCCTCTAGGATTTTGATGACTTCCTGTCTTACATTTAGGTCTTTCATCCATTTTGAGTTTATTGTTATGTATAGTGTGAGAAAGTGGTCCAGGTTCATTCTTCTCTATGTTGCTATCTGATTCTCTCAGAACCATTTGCTTTTTTTCCCACTGGATGCTCTTTCCTGCTTTGTCAAAGATTAGTTGGCCATATATTTGTGGGTCCATTTCTGGGTCTCTATTCTGTTCCATTGATCTGTTTTTGTGCCAGTACCATACTGTCTTGATGATTACAGCTTTGTAATACATCTTGAAGTCTGGGATTGTGATGCCTCCAGCTTTGGTTTTCTTTTTCAGGATTGCTTTGGCTATTTGGGGCCTTTTCTGGTTCCATACAAATTTTAGGATTGTTTGTTCTAGTTCTGTGAAGAGTGTTATTTTGATAGGGTTTAAAATTTTTTTTAATGTTTATTTATTTTTGAAAGAGAGAAAGAGGGAGAGACAGAACATGAGCGGAGAAGGGGAAGAGAGAGAGGAAGACAGAATCTGGACCAGGCTCCAGGCTCTGAGCTGTCAGCACAGAGCCCAGCTCAGGCCTGAGCCCATGAACCATGAGATCATGACCTGAGCCAAAGTTGGTCACTTAACCAACTGAGCCACCCAGGCACCCCTACATTCTGCATTTCTAACATGCTCTTGAATGGTGATGCTGCTGACCCATGAACCACACTTTGAGTAATACAATTCAAGGATAACTTCATACCATTCTCTTCACCCTTGCTCTGTGCCCCGTCAATTTGTCCTATATTTTGTATATATAACTGGTATAACCTGTTCCATTGAGGGTGTCATTGGGTGGAAAACTGGTCCTCCTTCTCCTTCTAATAAAAGAAGTAGGTCCCACACAAAAGTGTGATTCAGCTTTGCTTGACCAGCTCCCAGCACTGGTTGGGCTACCACAGCTCTTCAGGAAAGGAGAATCCCATTCTTAGTACCTCACTTTGGCTCCTTCTTCAGTTTGCTCTCTTACAACCTATCATCTTGTCCCAGACTACAAAGACCATGCCAGGGCATTATTAGGCACAGAATTGTGTGAGAACAGTCCTCTCCCTGTTTTGTGTTGAGACTCAGGTCATTAACCTAGACTTTTTCTCAAGTTTTACTTCTGGGTTCTGAATCAGAGTAACCTTAGTCCACTGCTACCTCTTCCCCTATGGCTAAATATTCTGATTCTTGTAATCCCTGGGCTCCTACTGAAAATTAATTCACCCTTTCTTTCTCCCTCCCTCCTTCCCCCTTTCCATTCCTAGGATTTTTGGAAAAGGTAGGAAGTCTAGAATGAGTCGCAAAATTTTGATTATACCCTAATCCATGGACAAAGTTTGCTAATTCGTGTTGTATACCTTAACTGGAGAGCCACACTGATGACCCTTCAAAGATCAGCTTCTCTCAGTGAAAAGAAACTGTACTCTGCTACAAATGTATTGCTTTGTAATGTTCTTTTAGTGTTTTGTGTATGTATGTTTCAGTTCCAATAGACTAGAGAGGGCAAAGGCCTTGTCTCTATATCTTTTGTGTTTCATCTTCCCTCCTTCCTTCCTCCCTTCCTTCCTTCCTCCCTCCCTTCCTTCCTTCCTTCCTCCCTCCCACCCTTCCCTTCCCTTCCCCTCCCCTCCCCTCCCCTTCCCTCCCTTCCCTTTCCCCTCTCTCCTCCCTCCCTCCCTCCTTCCCTCCCTCCCTCCCTTCCTCCCTTCCTCCCTTCCTTCCTTTCTTCCTTTCCTCAACAAATGCTTATGGAGCACATGCTATGTTCCAAGCAGCATGCCAGGAACTGAGGGTACATAGATGAATCAGACAGATAGTCTTTGCTCTCATGGAACTTCTAGTCTACCAAGAAAATAGTAATTACAGTAGCATGGAGAAGTGTGAGATGCTATGAGAGTGGATGAAGGACTAGGGGATATTCCTTGTGGATGAGGCATTTTTACTGCCATTTAAAGAATGAGTTAGAACTGCATCTCAGGGGCGCCTGGGTAGCTCAGTCAGTTAAGCGTCCAACTTCCGCTCAGGTCATGATCTCACAGTTCGTGGGTTCGAGCCCCGCATTGGGCTGTGTGCTGACAGCTAGCTCAGAACCTGGATCCTGCTTCAGATTCTGTATCTCCTTCTCTCTCTCTCTGACTCTCCCCTGCTCACACTGTGTGTGTGTCTCTCTTTCAGAAATAAATAAAACATTTTTTAAATTAAAAAAAAACCAACCGCATCTCAGTTCTATAGAACCCGTATTGAAAACCACTGAATTAAGTGATCGACTTTGTCTCTTCAGGTGATCCCTTGTCACCATTATGACTATAAAATATATATATAAACATAGGCACATAAACTCCTTGAGAAAGTAGTCCAAATCATCCAAAATGAAAATATTTTGATATATTTTTATTTATTTATTAAAAAATTTTAATGTTTATTTTTGAGAGAGAGAGACAGTGTGAGCAGGAGAGGGACAGAGAGAGAGGGAGACACAGATCCAGGCTCTGAGCTAGCCGTCAGCAATGAGCCAGATGGGGGCTTGAGCCCATGAACCATGAGATCGTGACCTGAGCCGAAGTCGGACGCTTAGCCTACTGAGCCACCCAGGTGCCCTGAAAATATATGTTTTTAATAAATAAAATTTAAATTTCATCAAAATGAAAACGCAAAATTTAAGTTTTATGTAAGAGGACTCAGAATTCTCAGAGGAGGAATCCATGGATCTTTAGGTTCCCCCAGCCTCAGATTGAGAAACACAGGAGTAGGAAGGGACAAAGATGTGAAAACTCAGAAATGGGGAAGAGCATAGGGCCTTCCCCAAAGTGTTGCTGCATGAATGTTAACTGACTCACTGCTTGCTCTCTCCTGGTTCCCTGCCCCTTGAGCCTCATTATGTTGGGGCTCCGCTCTCTGGGGATAGTCACCAAGGAATCGGGAAGAAGCAGGGAAACACACTAGGAGGATT